CTTGTAGTGATGAAGTCTAAACAACCTTTCTGTAGTCAAACACGTAAAAAGAGAAAACTAGAAGAAGAAAAGAGAAAGGCCGACGCCGGTGCTCTAGATAAGTTTATTCATAGACAACCTGTTGAAGAGCTTGTTGAATAGCCTATTGAAGAGCATGTTGAAAAGCATGTTGAACACTAAGAAAATGTAGAATTAGAAGTAGAAGAGGCAGAAGAGCAAGAGCCCGTTAAAGAGCTTGTTGATATATATGATCCAAGAAGGTGGGAAAAACTTAATTATTAAGAGCTTAAACTTTTGGTTGAGAAAGGTCATAAAAGAGATACTAGTATTATGTATGGCCCCTACGATAAATCTGATATACGATTTTCTGCAGCTTTATATACAAGAACTTTACCAAATTTGGAGAAGTGTGATATAGAATGGCTAGTATATTCGAAAGAGCTCGACAATGTATTTTGTTTTTGTTGTAAAATGTTTAGAAAAAGGATTTCTAAAGGTAAATTAGGTGATGAAGGTTATTCAGATTGGCACCATGTTACCAGTAGAGTTAAAGAACACGAAATTTCCTTGGATCATATCACAAATAGGAATAAGTGGTTTGATATGCGTAAAAGATTGAACTTGAATGAAACAATTGATAAAGTTCAATACTAGCAATTCAAGAAAGAAAAGATATTACTGGAAACAAGTCATTTTGCGAATCATTGCAGTAGTGAAGTTTCTTGCTAAACATAATTTAGCATTTCGTGGATAAAATGAAAAGTTGTATCAAAAAGGTAACTATAGATTGTATATTTTTTTTTCCAATTCCAACAAATACCTTTTTGTTAATTATTATGATTGATTCCACTTCTTATTTGTTAAATATACTAGGTGTGAGACTCATGTATTACATGAGTTTATTTAAAAAATAAAAAAATAAATATGAAATTTCAACAGTTTGAAAAGTTTGAATTTATAAGAAAAATTAGAAAAATTGTGAATTATTAAAATTAACGAGGCTTTAATACATTGAATACATTACTTATATAAACATTTTCTAATAAATACCTTACATATATATTACCTTACATATTAAATGTGCAATTTTAATTTAATAAAATGAAAAATACAATAAAATGACAAGTGAAAAATAGAAAATTCAAAAATTCTAGAAAATGTCATGTGTCCAAATGAAGGAGAAGAGGACATGTGGCAAAAAGATTTTGATTTATTAGGGAGGATTTAACAGGTAACGGAAATTTTTTGGGTGTCACTGAAATATTGGAAGAGTTTGACCCAGTTATCAAAGAGCATGTGCGGCAGATCACAAATGACGAGCTTCATGTGCATTATCGTGGGCACACGATCCAAAACGAACTAATACTTTTGATAGCTCAAGAAATTAAAAAATAACTTATGAAGACGATAAAGGAAGCAAAGTACTACTCAATCATACTTGATTGTACTCCTGATTCAAGTCACTAAGAACAGATGACTATAATAGTGAGGTATTTAAAGTTAACATATAATTCTGTTACTGTCGAGGAGTCCTTTTTAGGTTTTTTGAATGTTGATGATACCTCCGGAAAAGGACTATTTGATATTACACTTGAGGAGTTAAAGTCTTTTGGTCTTGAAATTGATGATATGCGTGGTCAAGGCTATGATAATGGAGCAAACATGAAAGGAAAACACCAAGGAGTGCAAAAGAGATTTTTAGAAATAAATTCTAGAGCATTTTACACTCCTTGTGGTTGCCATTCTCTTAATCTAACATTATGTGATATGGCTAACAAGTGTGTTAAAGGAAAGAACTTTTTTGGATTCATCTAACGCATTTATACTATATTTGCAAATTCTACTAAGAGGTGGGAAATCCTAAAAGATAATGTAAAAGATTGGAGTCTTAAGTCATTGTGTCAAACTCATTGGGAAAGCCGAGCTGAGAGTGTAAAGGCTATTAAAATGCAACTTGTTGACGTACGATTAGCTTTACTTCAAGTTGGAGAAAAAGATAATGATGCTGCAATTGCAAGTGAAACTTCACTAGCATCAAAAGAACTTGGTGACTTTGAATTTTTGGTATCAACTGTTATCTGGCATGAAGTGTTAAACCATATGAATATTGTGAGTAAAAAAGTTACAGTCAAATGATATGCATCTTGATAATGCTATTACAGAAATAAACAAATTGATTAGGTACTTCAAGGATTATAGAGAAACTGGTTTTTAAAAACGATAGATGAAGCTAAGGACATTGCTATTGAAATGGGTATTGATCCAATATTTCCACAAAAGCGTTTGATTGAAAGGAAAAAAAGGTTTGATGAGAGTTCAAGTAGAGAAGAAGTTTCATTTACACCTAAAGAGAATTTCAGAGTTAATTATTTCTTATACATTGTTGGTCAAACTATTTCTTCTATTGAGACAAATTTGAACAATTCAAAGAGTATGACAAAGTATTTGGTTTTTTTATTTCCACATAATTTGAAGGGAATTGAAGATAAAGATCTTAAGTCGTCTTGTCATCGTCTTGAAAAAGCACTCAAGTTTGAAGAAAGATCGGATATTGATGCCGATGAACTTTATACGGAGTTGAAATTATTTGAGACATTGGAAACCAATGAATTTAGCAACCCTATAGATGTTTTGAAGTTTTTGAAAGAACTTGATTATTTCCCAAATGCAAGCATTGCATATAGAATATTGTTGACTATTCCAGTAACGGTGACATCTGCAGAAAGAAGTTTTTCTAAGTTGAAGTTATTGAAGTCTTACTTACGCTCCACAATGTCCCAAGAAAGACTTAGTGGTTTGGCGATGATATCTATTGAGAACGAAATCTTAGAGAGTATAGACTACGAAGAGTTGCTCAACCAATTTGCTATCAAGAACACGAGGAGAGCTTCACGGATCGTCGGTTAACGGTTACAATATGTAATTATTCATTAAAATACTATGATTTTGCTATGTTTATTGCTATAAAGTTTATTGTCGTTTTAAAAAAATATTAGTTTATGTAATTTTAATTCGTTACACTTTAAGGCCTAAGGGCCTTTTTTTCCGGCTCATCCTGGGCATTTGAGTTCTCGGGACCGGCCCAATATATATATATATATATATATATATATATATATATATATATATATATATAAACCATATACATGGGACCATATGAGACCCATTTCTCGGCCCAGGGGCGGCTCAACCAGTTTAGGGGCTCTAAGCGAACCAAAAATTTGGGGCCCTTTGTCATTACTATACTTAATGTTATAAGTTAAACCCTCATCCTTTCCAAAATCCTTCTAACGAATATGGCTTAAAAAAAATTAAGCCATATTAACCCTAATAGATAGTCTAATCGAAAAAAAAGAATCAGTCAAGACTATTCTATAATCTACATAAAAGTTTAAAAAACAGATTTTCTCATTTTGTGCAGAAAATAAAAAAACAGATTTCTACATGACTACATCAAACAAAACTTCATCAAAATAACAAAATTTATCGATTATCATAGATAATAGATTATCAAATTATCACAAATTCACAATCATAGATAATCAACAATGAAGAATGGACTGAGTTACGGTGAAATAGAGAATCAGAGGAAGAACCGAAGAAGAACAATAGAACATATCTTTTCAACCTTTCAAGTTTCAGGATTCAGGAAAGCAATCACCAAATCGGTTGAATTAATCTTGACACTTGACATCCTTTTAAAAAAAAAAAAGAATCAATCAACTTATAAAAAATCTCCAGAAAGAAGATTAGAAGAATAGAAAATCACAGAGGTAATGGTTTTGTGCGGTTCTGGATAGAATCAAGAATGAAATCACTAATAAGTTAATTAGATTCAGAGGACAAAGAAAGAAGAAGAAGTGAAGAACAATTGCCGAGTCGCCGTTTCTGCTGAATGGTTTCTGCTGATGTGCGTGAATGAAGAATCCGAATAAACAATCCCCTAATTTAATTTTGGGTTAAGGGGCCCCTTAGAATTGGGGGTCCTAAGCAAGGGCTTTTTTTTTTTTTTTTTTTTTGTACAGTAAGGCCGGCCCTGTCTCGGCCAATTTCGCAGCCCATCGACACTTTTTCTACACCAATTATTCATATTAATACAACATTGTTCTAGGCGGGGAGCGTGGTGATTAAGTCATTAAACGGTTTACTTTATATTCCTTTGTAATGTTTTGTTAGTCATTAGTCATTACCGATCAAAATCCCAACAAAAAACTGGAACAAATACAAAAGCACTATTAAATATTTGTTAGCTTTTTGCTAACCTTTTAATATTTGAAATCTAAGCCGTTAAAAAAAATACAACTTTTTGATTGTTTTTGAAAAATGTTTAATATGATTTGCCATATTTGTCTTTTCTTTTTTCTCAAAAAAATATGCAAACTTAAAATTTAGTGTAAACTGTAACTCTGTAAGAATGACAATAAGTATGATACAAACTTGATACTTGCATAAGCTCATATGTTATTGTAAATAACTAAAGTAAAATAATACAAAAACCATCGTAAAACAAGTTCTAGCATACAATCGACCGAAGAATTTGGTTATCCAAATGAGAGTGTTATATGCGAGGAAATTTTCTACGAATAAACTTTTTAAAACAGTTTAGTTCAAGACTAGCAAATGAACCAGAATGAGTAATAAATTCCTTGATAGATGAAGCTAACTATGATGAAGGTATAGACAAACAAGTTTTATTTTGAAGTTATGTGTACAAATAAAAATTTAATGCCATTTTGACCCTCATATAAACATTAAGTTTCAATAGTTCAATACATACTTTCATGATTGAGAAAATAAGAAAAATACGTCAGTAGAAAATCCAAATTAATCTTTCCATATTCGTAGTTTGTTCGCGTGGCCCATTTGGTCTAATATGGCCCAAAATCGAAGTCCTTTTGGTCTAAATTCTCGATCCCCAAATCCAATTACAATACCTGTCACCACCTAAAACACTGTCAGAAACGACGACCAATTTTGGTGGCGCCGTCGCAGGAGATTTCATGTGGCCGTCTCTAAGGCACCGGACTCTTTCCCTCTCATCAGAAGCTATTCATCAATGGATGCCAGGTCTTAATCGCTCGTTTTGTTCTTCGGTAATCAATGCTACAAACACCAACGGAAAGAGTGGAAATGTTGTCGAATTACTGAACTTAGAAGAGGTCGAGAAGATTCTGAAAGATGTTCGAGCAGATGATGTGCGAGTCATACCTGTTAGAAAGCAATCGGAGTTCACAAATTTCGTTGTTGTTGCCACCGGCCGGTCTCAATGGCATGTTCGTAATATCGCTCAAGCCCTAATTTACAAGGCATGTTCTTTTCATCCGAGTTTTATTTTTTTCAATCGATTACACACGTAACTTTGTGATCTTTTGTAAATGCATCATACTTGGTCTCATGAAATATTTGGAGCAATATTTATGTTTATTTCTGCTTTCAAGTGGCGGTTAATGTATGGTAGAATGGTAGATGGGTTAGAAGGAGAAGATGATAATGATTCATTACTAGGTGATCCTCTGTGAATGCATAGTGTTTAATGTGATACATTTCAGTTCAAAGACATTTTTACATATGAAATCCAATATGCAGGAACAGGAACTGCAGATTCAAAGAAAAAAATAGCTGTCAAAATTAAACAGAGGCTTAGAACTCACATTAACTCTATATATATATGTATTACATTGCTTCTGAATATTTAACACAAGCTTCAGATGTTGACATGTAGTAATTTGATTTGTGGAGCAGGTGAAGCAAAAACAAACGGGAGCCAAAAGAATGTTGTTACCAAGCGTTGAAGGGCAAGAAGGTGGGAATTGGATTGTGATTGACTCAGGTATGCAGTCTGTCTTTGTTGTATATTATGATGTTAAGAAATTAAGGAGTTGATCTGATTAATAAATGATATGTTTTGTCAGGTTCATTGATAGTCCATGCACTTGATGAGAAAGCCAGGGCTTATTACAACTTGGAGCAGCTATGGACCTCTAAGGAGTCGATTAAAGAACAAAGTCAAAGTCAAAGCAAGGTAAATGTCTATATCTATATTCTATATAATATAAATGCCAAGGGGTTAAATAATAAATTGTACGTATCATTTTCCATCGCTGAGTAACAATATGTTCCTTATCAGGACTTGGATCAAGCTTTTGTGAAGGTACGCCGCAAGAATAACTCAAAGAAACCACAAAAGGAATGTGCTTGATCAACTATGCATTTCAGACTTTCGTTTCTAGTGATTAAAATGTGTTTTTTTTTTTTTTTTTTTTTTTTATTTTATTTTTTATAAAGGAGTTGTACATGTAAATACTTCAAGACTATAGAAAATGATCATATTCCATCTTGTCTTGGGATAATAAAAGAGAATATGGACTCAACTCAAGATCTCAAAGTTTTCCCAGCTTGTACAAGCTCCAATTTGGTTCCTAGATGTGACCCATCTTTTGAATTTTGATAGCAATTTATCATCTTTTCAACTTTTTGGAATGTTTATTTGCAAAAATATATCAAGTGTTCTCATTGTTTCATAGATCATGTGTGTTGGGGATATATGTCTACTTGATGACACTGCGAATAATAAATTGGTTTGTTGGGTTACTAGGTACAATCCAAAAGCTTAAGAGCAACAAAAATAATTAAAGGAATAGTTTGTTATTCATCAGAACATGATGTTTTAATTAAAAACAATATAAGAGAGAGAGAGAGAGAGAGAGAGAGAGAGAGAGAGAGAGAGAGAGAGAGAGAGAGAGAGAGAGAGAGAGAGAGAGAGAGAGAGAGAGAGACTTTTTGCAATTAGGAAAAGTTTGAATTTAGAAGATAATTATATAATTATCTTAATCTAAGTCATGTTTGGCAATTATTAGAATAAGGGATAAGTATTTAAAGGCTCCTATTGGTCCTTCTGAGAGACACACATCGACACCCTCTCTCTTGAGTCTTGAGAGCAAATCGACATACAACCCTTCTATGGTAATTTTTGTGCTTGCTTGGGTTACTACGACTGTGATAGAGATATTATAGTTTGAGTCTTTATCTTCCTCTTATCATAAAATTAAGTAAATCATGGAAACACCACTCGTAGCTTAGTTGCGATGATTGTAATGAAACATATATCCATGAAATATCTCGATGGTTTTTTATTGCTTGGGTTGCATGTTTAGTTTGACTTGTGCTTAAGTTTTTAAACAATCATCAAAATCCAACATAGGTATGTGAGCCTAATGTTTTATTTGCACAATAAGAAATCATTTTTGCTTGAAATCGACGAGGTGTCTCTTGTATACACAAAAGATAAATTGCGTGTATGATATATGCATATCGAGTTTCATTGATTTAAAACAAAAGAATGAAAACTGATTTCTTATATAAAATGAGTTCGAATTTATGTGCATCATGATTTCCCAAATTTTGATTTATAGTTTCGTTTGGATGGTTTTGGCATTAAAACCATACAAATAAAATTACCTAAGTGTGTTTATAGGTTTATGTCATTAAGTTTGATTTTATGGTATCAAAATATATAAACAAATATAGGTATTTATGTGTCAAATGTTAAATACAATCTTAATCAAAATATTGCAATTTGTAAGGTTTTTGCACACCATAGATTAAATAAGTTATTGCAACTCTTCAGAACGGGTTGTGTTAGGTTATTTTTCAATATTTTAAAAATAATGTTACACATTTTCAAAAAGTTACATATATCTGAGGATAGACTAGTATGATGTACCTATTTTGAACGTGCTACATAAAGTTGTTGCGACAGATCTAATACAATGATATTCAAATTTTATGTTGCAACACTTTAGAAATTGTTGCTTGGTTTCTGATGCATCACTTTTATATAAATGTTGTTGCATGTAATGCAACATTGTTTCTAAATTGATGCCTTACACTTTTGTATGCATCAATGTCCGCATATTTTATGATGTTTTTGATATATTGTTTCATGTCTTGTTTTTTAGGGTATTAAACTATCAGTACTTCCAACTTTTATGAAAAATAACTGTTTCACTTATGCTTTTGATAAGAAATTTTGATTTGAAAAATTAATACGTTACATATGCCTTTTTTTTTTTATTGTTCTTTAATGCTTTAACCTCTGCCTTTTGTCTCAACGACAAGAACCACCGAAGGGATGTACTATCACTGGAGAATTTTTATATGAATTGACAGTGAACCAATGTATTCTAGGATGTAACTCATGACATATCTCGTCCATTGAAGCGTGTTGTTGCATTTGTCAAAGTCTATAGTTACTCAACTGCAATGGCTTAATGGGGTTTCAATTCGCAAACGAAGCGTGTTGTTGCATTTGTCAAAGTCTATAGTTACTCAATTGCAATGGCTTAATGGGGGTTCAATTCGTAAACGACTAGCCCAATGAGCCATCTCTATTAGCTGAAACTGTTATGGCCACCCTTCTCAAACACTGATTCAACAACCAAGTTTGTTTATCAGCTAAGAGAACTATGTTTGTCTATTATTAAAATATTATTTTGACATGGGTGTTCGTTATTCAACTCTTCTTGTTCTAAATAAACATAGAACAAATATCCACCGATGATTTGTCACTAATGGTATATTGATAGTCAGCCACTAAAGAGCTCAAATTCAACTGAAGATTTGCGAGTGATGATCAACTGACTCCTTTCAATCAAAGATTGTTGCTCATCCAATTATAATTAAGCACTGATGGAGTGTCGTTTCAATTGTCCACGCGTTAAAAAAATATCAAACATTTTTAAATGAGTTCTACAATCCAACCCTCTCACTCCTATCTTATCATGGCGGTTTGTTGGCATGGACGCCGATGCAATTAATGAATTCTGGTACATGGCAGAGTTTGATGAAGACATTTTGTCTCTGATTGGAAGAATTATCAATGGATATCATGATGTACACATCAATGTCAATCCCCCGTATATGGAAATGTTTTATTGGGATAATCACCAAGCGTCTGAGTCTTGTGACTGGAAGTTGGGATCAATTAAATTCTATGAAAAATGACTATCCTTTACGCTATGTTATATAGGAAGAATATGGATTTAGTCCAACTATTCTTCAACACATTTGTTAAGCCGCTCAAGAAGTCTCCAAATCGTCAATTGAATGTGCCATTTCCAAGATTTCTCTCAATGGCAATGGAAGAAGCATTAGGTCCAGTTATATATGTACACCTACTTGGTCATTTCCTAATGACAAATCAACTCGGTGTTAGTACTTTTCAAGATATTCCACAACCAAATGATTCTACTATTACTCTGTATATGCACCACTATATTGTATATCTATATCAACCAGCCCAACTAGTTGACAACCAAGTTATTACAGAAGAGGAAAATGATGCAGATGCCAATCTTAGTGTTCAATCCCCCCTGTAAATCAACACATTTATTGTGATCACTCCTCAACTTAATCATACCATCAGTTTGAGGATCACTCATATCATTAATCATATGCTCAGTCTCAACATCTTTCTAAGCCAGATTTGCAAGGTATGGATCCTCCCTCTTTGATCCTATGCGATCAAACTCCTATAATTCTTCTCATTCTGTGAATAGGGCTGATTAAACCTGATGGGTTTTAAGCAAGGTTGTCAAGATCGGGATCATACCTAGGATCGTTTTTGGGTTTGCAAGATCGGGATCCTAAGATCCCACAAAATAAAATATAATTTTAATTTATAATCTTTAATCATGAAAAATATTTCAAACATTCAATTTTTCGTTCAAAAGTTATAAAAACTTCAAAATATTAGTCATAATCACAATACAAAATGATAAATGGTAAATTGGTAAAGGATAAAAGACATAAAGTGGTAAAAAAATTTCATTTGAAAAAAAAATCAAGGGAAGGTAGGATCGGATCGGATCTCGATCCTACGATCCTACCCACGATCTTACGATCCTACCTGCGATCCTACCCCCAAATACGATCATTTTACGATCCGGATCGTTTTTTCATACCTAGGATCGTAGAATCGTACGATCCTACGATCAGGATCGCGATTTTGACAACCATGGTTTTAAGCACTACAACATTCCTATGATGTACATGCAACCCTAATGCTTTGGATCTAAGTTTTCCTCTATTGAACATGCAAATACAAACTCCAAAGCATAAACCCTACTTCTAGCATACAATTTCGAAATTTACAACTAAAACCAAATTAGATGAATACCTTTTCTTGTAGCTACTTGATCTTGACCTTCAAGAGCTTAGTGCCCCAATTGTTGCACCTCTAATGGAGTCACAAACACCAAGTAGAAATTGGATGAATATGAGAAAGATGGTTAGGCTCAAAATTCGGCTAGGGTTCTCTATGAGTCCACAGGTGCCGATTTTGGGAGCTAATGGGTTCCTTTTATAGTTGAGGCTTCTAGGGTTATCAACTTGGAAACCCTAATTCCCTTGCTTAGGCCCTAAGCAACATACAGACCTTCACATGAAAGGCTTTGGAAGAAATCTTTATGGACTCTCATAGAGTTTTCGTCCACCACTTATCAACATGGTCCATTAGCCCAAACTACAACTATCACTGATTTACATAATCAGTCCCCCATTATTTTAATTAGTCTCTTTTGATCACTAAATTAATTCCAAACTAATTTCTGATCAATACTAATTAAATAATATGATTTCTCAATTAATATGTGATGTGTGTAAAATGCACTGGTTTTAATCCTACTTTTGAGTTATAAATTAAGCACACAAAGGCAGTGAACCTGTCTTTTAGTGGTATAGTTGGGTAAGTAGAGTGTCGAACTCAGGGAACGGTAAATTAAAACTAAAGACTAATTTTATCTAAATTAAATAGTAAATATGGGTTTTCTCTAGTTTCACAAGACTAGAAACTTACTAATACTACTTGGGCTAAGAACTAGAAAAACAAAGATTTAACTGAATTTAATAATAAAAGGGACTTATGTTTAGTTCAACTCAATTGATCCTATGGTTGATATTATGGTAATAGTGCAATGGATTAATTCTTCTATTGGCTACCGATTCAAGTGATTAGCCTTGCGTTCGCTACGATAATCCTTAGAAAACAAACTAACTCAAACAGTGATCAGTTGTCTAATTTAATTTAATTCACTAGATTATTTATTCGGGTTAATTTAGACTTGTAACAGCTAACTAAATTGGTCCTTTAGTTAACCTCTTGCTGATGGTCATCAAACAAGCTCACACATGAATTTACCTAATTTTTCTTATTAATTCTAGTTTCACGTTCGTTAGTCCTAGACATATGATAAAGTGGTCACATAAACATATGAGGTAGCAATTAAAGATGTTCATACTTC